TATTATACTGTACTACCGTAATTTCATGTCTTCCTCTTATAAAATCGATGAATTGATAATGAAGAATATAATAAAAAATAATATAATTCCTACAGATCCTAATGACCTACATTGAACAACCAACAACAAATTAAAACAACTCTCCCTACGCATAGATTAATTAACAACGTCAACATTGTTGCCAATAATTTTAACGTCATCGATAATAATAATAATAATAATAATAATAATAATAATAATAATAATAATAATAATAATAATAATAATACTTTTAATAACAATGATGACGACGACAACAACAATACAAACAACGATAGCAACAACAACAGCAACAATAAAAAGAACAACAACTACAACAACAATAATAATAATGGTAATGATGATGATGATGATAATAATAATAATAATAATAATAATAATAATAATAATAATAATAATAATAATAATAATGATAACGATAATGATAACGATAATGATAATAACAATAATAATAATAAAAATAATAATAATTAATAATATTAATAATAATAATAATAGAAACGATATTCTAATTAATTTCGCGCTTCAAATTTGTGACATTGTTGGTTGCCATCTTGACAACGGCCACGTAGCATGAACAATCGTATAATTTCAAATATTTTGTTTACTAATTTCATTGAACCTTTGCGTTTTTATTTCGTTACTTTTATTTTATTTTAATATATTAAAAAATACAACTAATTAACTATTAATAGAATTTATTTAAAATATATTGCACTGATGATGACTTTACGTCGAAATAGATCTATATGCATAATTTTAATAATAATATAAAAAATAAACGATTATAAAAATGGGATCTTGCTTGATTAATTTTAACAATTAAAATCATAAACGATTATAAAATGGATTTCAACATTTTGAATAGACTTAATTGTAAAGAACTAGTTCAAAATATTAGAAAATCAACCATAAAACTTGTTAATGCTGAATCGTCGGTGGATTTTTTGAACAACTGTATAGAACTTGGTCTTCTTCCTAATATATATATATATATATATATATATATATATATATATATATATATATATTTTCCCCAAAATTATTCCATGCCATCACAAATAAAAACAACGGCCCCTTGTCTCCAGCAGGCCTTAAGTGGTCGATGGGTGCCAAGAAATCCTGATAAGTATGCAATAGCGGAGGAACGTTGCAGAAAAATTCAGAATGACCGCTCTCTGGTACTTAGACTTGGAACGCTCAATGATGGATCACTGACTGGCCGCAGCATGGAAATCGCAGAAATGCTCGAGCGTAGAAGGATTGACATCTGATGCCTTCAGGAGACCCGGTGGAAATCGAATGGTGTCTGTCATATCAACTCAGAGAATGAAAAATATAAACTATTCTCGAATGGTCAAAAGAAGGCCAAAAATGGTGTTGGAATTTTTGTCAAAGAACCGCTAGCCCAAGAAGTACTGGATATTAAAAGGATTAATTCACGTCTCATGTGGATCAAGCTTCGCCTAAAAAATCAAACAATGACTATTTTTTCTGCATACGCACCACAGACAGGCGAATCAAAAGGGATGAAAAATGACTTATGGGCTGCGTTCTTTGACACCATCTCAACAATACCAAAATCTGAAACAATCCTGATTGGAGACGATCTGTATGGTCACGTTGGAGAGAAAACAGATGGTTTTGACAACGTACATGGCGGTTTTGGCTATGGGGAACGGAATAAAGAAGGCAACCGCATTCTTGAGTTTACTGAAAGTCACGGGTTTTGTTTACTGAACACATATTTTAGAGAGAGGTTGGAACATCTCATAAGATAAAAAAGTTGACCATCAGCCACACAAATTGATTTCTTCGCTGTCAAGCAACAACGCCGAAGGCTATTCAAAAAAATCAAAGTTATACTTGGCGAATCATGTGTCGCCCAACATAGACTCCTTGTGGCAGATCTGGTTGTCGAACTGTCACAACATAAGTCTAAACAAATGCCTCGAAAAATCAAAACGTGGAAGCTGAAAAGCAATATTTATCGAGAAAAATTTCAACAGATTGTCGCCACACAGTTAGACCACCAATCGCAAGCCAGTACATATTAAAAGTACATACAAAACCGTTTTGATAAACGCAGCAACAACAAAAAATGACAACCTCACTCCCAACCCGGCGCTTAAACAACAATGGAAACAAAGAAGTAATAAAAACTAGCATTGTAAATAGTGACAAAGAAGAATATGATGCTATCGATGAAGAAAAGGAGACCAAAGTAGATGACCAGCCAATAAAGAAACCAGACACCTAATTTCCATCTAAGTTCATTTTGACAAAGTCAATATTTCCCTATATAAACATCAACCGCACTGATGATGATTAATTCAAAATCGAAAAATGGCCTTATTTGCAGCATGAATTCGGAAAATAAGTTTATTTTGAATTTTAATAAACTAAACGTTCACCAAAATACTTTAGTGAGAAAAATCGAAAAAACGAACTACAAACATGTTAACGCCAAACATTCCGTAGAATTTATAGAATATTGTAAATATATATATATATATATATATTTTATTTATTTATATTTATTAATTTATTTATATATATATATATATATATATATATATATATATATATATATATATATCTAATTACTTGAAAAATATTTTAAGTTTTGATGTTATTTATATGTAGGATAAGGTTTGATAATAAATGAAATGACCTCAGTATTAGGATTTTGACAGTTGTGAACATGTGGAACATGGGGGAAACATTTAAATGGCTTCTTCCGCGGATAGACTGCCCGTTAACCTAATTAAATGGATAGAAATTGCTTTATAAAATAAAAAACTAGTATTTAAATTGGGTGTTTTTCATAAAAATGTACAAAAAATTATTTTGCGAACAACATTAAGTCTAGGTACGAGATTAAAGCAATAAACTTTCAAAGTAAGCAAATTTTGTTTACTAAATAACACATTTTTGTATTTTTACATCCACGAAAATCTATTATCGTCTAAGTACGGAAGTCACGAAATATCTTTTTGATCAACGTATTTATGAATTCAACGTCATGAAGAAAGTAACCAGACAGCACGTTTAAGCCATTGGCAATCAATCTCCACAGCGCAGTCTTTTTCAGCACTATTTGTAATTTGTACTAATTGAAACTGATAGGCAGTGAAATTCGTTACTGATATTTAAATGAAATAGACTTACATCTCAAAAGACCAACCATTGTCCTTAACTGCCATGCAATAACGTGACAGTAAGTAACTTGATAAATGTTTAAACTATTGGACTTAATTTTTACAATTAATCAGAAATATAGCAAAACTACAAATTTAACAAACTTAACAATGAAAAACTACTGTAAAATTAAATTTTATATCAACCAACTTACCGTGTACATTTTTACCATATACTAAATTAACATGTACAACTTCGTATATAAGTGTATGCGTGTGACAGTCAACTTGTCCAATCGGTTAAGACCTCAATAAGCTTATAACACCACACACATCAAACAGCTTTATATCCAGCAAAGACATACGGGTATACTTTCAGCTGTCACCAAAATGACAAGAACTAACATCGCTTCCTAAGATCAATCAAGTCAACCAATCTTCGTTTAGCGTCCAGAGACCCAGTTCCCCGAGGTAGGACGTTGTTTTCATTGCCATCAACTTTTTGCGCCAAATTAGGCGATAAGTTGTATCCATTTCATTTAAATTTAGAGCTTTCATGTCTTGCTCGATTGTTTGCGACCAGGACTTCTTTGGACGGCCTTTGGGATGTGTGCCAGGTACTTCAACATCTGCAAGAGAAGTTATAGCACTGTTTCCACTTCGTTTGACATGACCAAACCACCGCAGACGGTGTTGCCGGCATTCGTCCTTTATATCATCTTTATATCATCAGGCAGCACGAAGCAGGATTTCGGTAGATTTGATGTGGTCCTTTAGACAAATTCGTTGCATCCATCGGAGCATTTTCATGTCGGTTCGTTGAAGTTGTTGTTTCAGTTTGGTTGTCATTGGCCATGTTTCTGCACCATATCACAACACCGGACGTATCACAGATTTATAAAGTCTTAATCGTGGTGGTAGTGGGATGCCACGCCGCATCAATATAGAGGCAAGGAGATGCCATTTATTTCAGGCTGCACGTATGCGTGCTCGAACGGCAGCTTCAGCTGTTCCAGTACAATCCAGAACATCGCCTATATATTGAAACGATGTGACTTTCTCTACTTTAATGGTTTCAAAAACATTGCTATTTCAAATTTGTTGTTGTGGATTGATGCAAGCAAGACAAACGAAATTGGACACTTTAGATAAAGTACCAATTATTTTTGAACAACGTTTGTGACACCACTGATTACACTGCTGACTGCTGATTGAATTGTTACCTGCACCAGCTTTATAAACTGAACAGGGCCATCGTCCAGTAGCTGTGGATTGGATGGGTTCACCAGTGTTCATTGCTTTGGTTTTGCTGATGTTGACTTTGAATTTATGATCGGCGAGTCTGGTGTTCCAATCTTTAAACATTTGTGCTACATTCTGCTCAGACGTGGCTGTTAAAACGATATCATCAGCATATATTAGATTCCAAATGTCACCAGTGCGTATCGGCTTTGTGATTTTTTCCATCGCAGTTATAAATAACAGTGGACTGAGGATCGAGCCTTGGTGAACTCCAACGCCGATGTCAAATGCATCTGTGTTTCCAACCGTTGTGCTGACGAGAGTTAGTATTCGTATACATTTCCATCACAAGTCGAACAAGACATTCTGGAATGAGTTGTCGACGTAGACTCCATCTGATTGCTTCACGGGGAACTCGATGAAATGCTTTTTCAAGGTCTACAAAAATGTGTCATACTTGTTTTGTGCTTTGCGAGGTACTTCTCTTGCAGTTACCGAAGGATGTGAATTGCATCACATGTGGATTTCCCCGCTAGGAAACCAAATTGATAATTTCCGATTGTGATGCACGACGTTAATCTTCTCTCAATGATTTTCTCGACAATTTTCAGAGAGTGTTCTAACAGACGTATACCCCGATATGATGAACAGTTCAATGGATCACCTTTGCCTTTGTCATGCTATAGTTCCATTCAGTCGGCATTGAGCAATTTCTCCACACTTCACGGCAAAAGAGGCTTTTTTTGGTTTAGACTTGAAATTGTGAAGTCAATAAAATTGCAAAGGATCTCTTGTACAAACTACATTTTAAAAAAAAAAATTCCAACCCAACAATAAAGGTTAAAGGTCATTCTCTCTTGTGCATCTGCTTCAGAGATATCAAACACATACAGCGTACATGAGTACGCGTGAAAACCACGTATCACACACATTGCACATGACAGGCGGAACCTCTTTGCATTCAAGCCCAGTTATTGCAACAGCAGGACCAGGATAATTTAACCATTGAGCCGTCACGCCGCAAAGTAAGCTACCAATGCCAGCAGTATGCATGAAAAAAACTAAGAAGAGAATTGAAAAATTTAATAAAATGGGTCTATTTGAAGAATGAAGCCACTAGTGAAAATTATAAACTATCCATGATTACAAATAATGACTAGAATTAAATTACCAAAATACCTGTTGAAGTGTGCGATCAGACAAAAAAAAGCTGGCCCAGGCTGGCCAGCCGAATGCTTTTATTTTGAACGTTCATAGTGATGATATACAAAGCCAAGAACCATTACGACTTATGAGATGAAAATTTAAACTATGTTCAAATTTCAGAAGCTTTGCTCAAAAATTTTCAAACGAATGTTCAATGAGGGGTGATAAGGCAAGTTTATTACAAACATTTTTATTTTTGAAGTGATGCAAAATTTCAAAAAATACTTTGACAGATGTGCAAAATTAAAAAAGGAAAGTATATAATGTAACGTTACGATAAATGGAGATTTTTTGTAAATTGATTTATCTTATGTACATTTTTTGGTTCAATAACAAAAAATATAGCTTATTTTAATAATAATAATAATAATGATCAAAACCAATGTTTCAATTTTACTTGAGACAAAATTCCCAATTACATGACATGAATTAGTGAAAGAGGCATACTTCCAATATTTCGTCGCCAACATGGATTAGCTGAGATTCGAAAGCTGGATACCCTTTTTTAAGATCCTGAATGTACGTGTTCATTGTTGTTACATTTTTGCTTCCCACTAAACTAATACCCAAGCACGAAAAAGATCCTTTACACAGTTCAATAAAGTGTAATTCTCCTTCTTCTTTTCTGTATTTTCTGAAAACCAGTTCTGAAATGATATAATAACGACAGATATTAATCTGTAAAATGAGTTTTACCAATAATATTTAACATTGAAAAAAATGTATCCGCTAATTTCACCGCTTCTGCCCAACCAAAATAATAGTTTGAAAATATGACTTGGTTATAAAAATAACAATAAATAATATAAATAATATATAATTATATTAAATAAATCATAAATAATTGAATAATAATAAATAAATAAGTAAAATATGATATAAAAATAATATAAATAAATAAACAAAAATATTGGCTACATAAATTAAAACGAAAACAGCAATATTACCACCGAACAAATTTTAAAATTAATAATAACAATACTACTAAGGAATGAATATTGTAGTAAAAACAAGTTCTTTTATAACAATAGCAAACCGAAACCACTTCTTATAGGTGGTCTTGTCATCTTCACATGCCATCTTCAAAAAGTCCCAACTGTCTACTGATTCATACGAATCCCTAATTATTAACTGACCTGTAATCTTCTTGCTGATTATTTAATTATGACGGTGATATAAGTTACCATCTGTTTTACTAGATTTTGTTACACCTTCGTCAGTAATTGTTTCCGCTTTACCATCATTATCATACAATATTTTGTAATTTTCTTTTCAGGCATTTAACTTTAATCGCACTTATTTTACCGTATGTTCCTTTTAATTATCTTTATCGAAGTACAATTCAATTTTGCTGTCATTAATCATTTGTACAGTACCATTATTTAAACGTCGTTTTGTTGTCATTTTTAATTTGATTGTTCGAGTGCCAACGTGAATGTAGGTATTTGAAATTAACTTATTGATCATTATTTGTTAGGTTTTATTTTCTGGTTGAGTACTAAACTAAAATGCTAAGAAATTTTTTTTCTGCACTTGATTTATGTGGTTCACTAACATTTTTTTCCCATTTCTTTATATTTTGTCATTAAGTTTGTTATTTGTTTGGCTTGGTAAGTGGTCTGTAAAATGTCTCTGGTTAGTTGTGTCAATAAAAAAATAACTACACATATTCTTTATAAAGCTCTCCTTGTCAGGAATGATCAGAAACTAACGACCCATATCAAGTTTAACCAATAATTGAGCATGTTTTTGTAAGGCAGATTTTATGTCACACAACTCAAACAAATCTCATGCCAACTAGTCAGTCACTCAACAAAAACTGCATTGTTAAACAATAATTCTGATTTATTTTCGTTGATAGATGCGCAAAATATACCAAAGCATTCTTCCATGGATACAAGTTTCGTCTTCGAAATGCAATTTGATTAGGCAGGCTAAATTTTAAACATTTTGATTAAAATTATTGAAACCGTCTGTTATTAAAAATGAAAAAAAAACCTTTATATTTGCTATCATCCAATGTCATGACTGGCTATTGGCATTGAAAGAGCCTTCTGATATTATCAAACAAATCAATGAGAACAATAACTTCATAAAAAAATAACCAATTATCGGATGTAGAAAGTTAAATATGATCGTTACACTGGTTCTGAAAAAATAAAACGAAAACCACAATCAATAAAACGTGAATTTTTGTGAAATAACGTGTCGGAGTCAATTGAAAAATATCCAACTCCGACCCCTCAAAACATCCTGACTCTCGAACTGATAGACCTTTTGATTTAAAACATGTTCTATTGATGATTAAATAATTTTGAAAAAGATCATATATTCATATTAAAGTTGATAAATATGTATTGATTTTTAGTGTTTGTTCTTTAATAAATAAATAATTAAATTAGTCTAAAATTTATAAAACATTTAAAATTGAATGAAATCAAAAGTAATTAAACAACAACCGCTTTGAAACAATGAAAACATCATAAATATTTGTTTGCTTATCTTTTATCTTCCCTAAATATAAATTTCCTTTACAAAAAATATATTTAGAAAAATATTAGTTTTTTTCTAAGCGATTAAAATAATAGTTAGTTATTTTACAATTACATTACAAATAAATTTTGTGATTTTAATAATCTGATATTTTGCTAAGTTGTTTAGTTAAATTTAATTTAGTTCTAATAATCGTTGTTGAAAAAGATCCAGAAATAAACGATGTGTGTAGTAGTGAGAAAGATGATGTTCCCATAGATGAGGAGTTAATAAAATAATAACGAATCAAACTATAATTAATTATGTAATTATAATTCAATAAAGCATCTTGTAACATCAACAGAGATTCACTAAAAATTTCGTAAATATTACTATGTATTTTAAATATTAATATTTATTTTTTGTAAATATTGCTATTTGAGCAGATAATTTATGAACACTGCAAACCATTCAGTTTTATTAGATGTTAAAAATTGCAATTGGAAACTTTTGCGAAATTTATGTATAATTTCCATACGCGAAATTCAAGGACACATAATAGGAAAATCTTTTATCATAAAATTAATTTATAAGAAGCGTTGAAAAACATTTCAAGAAAGAAATGGATTGTAAGAGTAACGACAATGATGAAGATATAATAAAGGCTGGCGATGAAATGAAAAACATTCACAAATCATATTACAATGACAAAGATGATGATGTGAATGTGGACAATGATGACCACTTTGAAATGGCATCATTTGATCCTGACTATTTTTGTGTGACACCTCGTTATTTTGATCTTAAAGATGTTTAAGAAATATAAATTAAATAAAAAAAAGTTAGTATTAAGGCGTCGAGTTGGTAATGATGTTATTATTCTTTGTTGTATGTTTATTTGGGGTTAGGACAGCTTCCGCAATTTTTAGATGTATTGTGTTGGTGTTTTGATAAATTATTTTTGTGTTGTTGTCAAGAATTTGGCGGATTATTGGGGTTGCATGTGTTGATTGCAAGTGGGATTTGATGGCTCCTCTTTGTGTATGCATTGTGAGACGACTTGAAAGTGAAGTGGTTGTAACACCAATATACGAAGTTTGTTGACGCGCACAATCGTCAATAAGGCATTTAAATTCATATATTACATGATTACGCTTCAAAGTAGAGTCGTCTTCAGGAGCGCAGTTGTTCTTTACGACCAATTGTGATTTCTTACAATTATAGTTGTATATACTGAATTTAATTTTATTAGTATCATTGATTGGTGTAACATTTCTTTTTGGCAATTTGGCAAATAATATTTTCAAAAAATCTGCTAATTTTAAGCAATACGACCACATCCTAAAGCAAGCTAGATTAAAATTTGGTCAGTTGTTATGTAAACAACTCAAAGAATTTTGTGAAAAACCAAATCTACCAACAGTTTGGTCTAGGCCGTTAGTTCTGCCAGCCATGGTTTTGAAGAAGAGCCCACGTGGCGGCAAACGCTATAGCCCGGTGACGATTGTTAACCAAAGAATTGATGAATGCTACAACTGCTCGGTGGAGAAGATGCCAAACAACCTGGAGCCAATTATGGAAATTGGAAAAGTAAAATCGCCTGAATCAAGGTTATTTTCTTCAGTAAAATCTAAAATTGAAAAAGGCAATGTGAGGAACGTTATGCAGCTATTGTCTTCAACCAACTCGATGGCTCTTGTTTCCGAAGATACCGTAAACTCCCTAACTGAAAACACCCAAAGACACCAATTGACAGAACTCCAAGCCCCCCTAATAAATACTCGGGTGTTTCGGTTAAATTTCAACAAATTCTCGCATGCTTGAGGTCGTTCCCAAAAGTCACTTTTGGAGGCAGAGATGGCCTAGCCCCCGAACATGTGACCTCCTCAAAGACCGATTCTTTAGACTTCATCAACGGCATTACCGCCTTTATTAACTTACTGTTAAATGTCGGCTGCCTTGCCGAGGTTGCACTTTACCTTTTCGGATAAAAACTGGTAGTGCTTTTAAAAAAATTATGGCGGTATAAGACCAATTGCTGTCGGCCGCCTCGCTGCAAAATGTGCGCTAGCAGCAATTAAAAACAAGGTCTTTCCAATTCTTCAGTTACAGCAGGTTGAGGTAGGGTGAGCGGTAGAGCTGATGGGGCAATCCATTTTGTACAAAAATTCCCGGACCATATGAGAGATGACAAATGTTTATTGAAATTGGATTTTTCAAACGCCTTCAATTCAATCAGACGTGATCATATATTGAAGTGAGAAAGTCAAGAGGAAAAACGTAACATAAAGCAATATATATCAATTAATTTAAATTAAGATTTAATGTTTTTTGTATTATTCTTAAATTTTTATGATTCTAAAGAATTCGGTTTCAATACCATTCATGTTATATTTGGACTTATACACTTGTATGTACATATGTGTGTATGTATTCGTGTATATATGTATAAAGTTTTTTCAACGTACAATATTTTAATTTAATTTGTTTATTTTTACTTCACAATTTTCGAGAGTAACGTAATGTTATTTGTCCTTAATTTAATTCTTTATATTGATTTAGACATTTTTATGAAAAATTGTAGGGTTCTTATATATTTTAGATTTTATCTTTTAGGGCCCTTTTTCATGTTTCGTTTTTTTATGAGTTTCATGGAATAAACTTGTTAAAAAATGTTTATATATATTAAAAATGTGTTCATGAACTATTTTCAGAACCTCTTCTTATATATCAATATGTAGTATATATATATAGGGGAGGTGGTATTATGAAACGGAGTTGTAAAATGAAACCGCAATTTTTTCCATGAAGATTTGTTATGACCTATCTATAATTGTTTTAATTATAAAGATTAAATAGTTTTTGGTCATTCTAAACAGCTGGCGTTATTGTTAGGTTGAATGCGTACTGCAAATTACACGAAATTGTTTCCGAAGTTGTTCAAACATTTTGATAGGTAAGATTTAAATTTTTTTTGTATCTATATGAGTAAATAATATATATAATTATTTATTTTGTCATTTAGTAGATATGTTAAACATTAAAATTTCTTGAATAGTTATTTAAAATCATACTTTGTAAATTGTAATTATTGGCTTGTTTTTAAAATGGCGATTGGTGGTAATATGAAACAGACTGTTCCATAATACAACCTTTTATATTTTTTTTAGGTATCATGCCGAGAAACAAATTGGGACCTCTAAAAAGGGGGTTACGACAGGGGGTTATGAATTGGTAGATTATTGTCTGTTAATGGGAAAAAAAATTTATGGACTTACTCGAAATGATATGACGAATGGCTTATCAGCTAGCTGTTAGAAACAAGATTGACAACAACTGTAAGATATCACTTAGAAAACCTGAAGGAACATCGATTGCCAGAGCTATCGGATTTAACAAGGAGAGTGTAATGATGTTTTTTGACCTTCTGGAAGCAGAGTATGCAAAGCATCGTTACTTTTCAAATCGAATCTTCAATGTTGATGAATCGGGTCTAAGTGTAGTTCAAAGTAAACTTACTAATGTTATTGGAATGAAAGGTAAAAAACAGATAGGAGCCCTGACTGCAGCCGAAAGGGGAAGGCTTGTAACCATAATTGCTTGCATGAGTGCAGGGGGAAATTTTGTTCCGCCAATGATGTTTTTTCCACGTACCAACTGGACTGACTTATTGATGAAAAGGGCACCTCCCGGTGCTATAGGAAGATGTCATCCATCCGGCTGGGTGCAGTCTCACCTTTTTACAGAATGGTTTTCCCATTTTATTGACCATACAAATCCAACTTCTGAGTCTCCAGTTTTACTTGTACTAGATGGACTCTATTCTCATACAAGGAACCTGGATGTAATTATAAAGGCAAAAGAAAACCATGTAACGATCATATGTTTGCCATCGCACACAACTCATAAGCTTCAGCCTTTAGATAGAACATTCATGGGTCCCCTAAAAACCTATTATAGTGAAGAGGTTAGACAGGCATTTAGAACAGGTGGGATGGACATTATGACATTGCTGAAAAGTTTGCCAATGCGTATCTCAAGGTTCAAACTGGAGCAATAGCGGTCAGTGGTTTTCAGTGGACTGGCATATATCCACTAAATAGAAATGTGTTTTCTGAGACTGATTTCATTCAAGCTGAAAATGTGACTAGCAACAATGATGGTGATGAGAGTACAAAAGAAGATAATGAAAGCTCATCCACATCTGTATTTCATATCAATCCACAAGATATCTCTCCTATTCCATATGCAAAAAAAGGAAAACATCAAATAGAGGTAAAAGAGCTTTATTAGCTACTATCATAACCAGTTCTCTATATAAAGCTGTTTTGAAATCATCAAATGATAAAAAATCAGCTAAACCAATTTCGAAGAAAAAAGGGGACCACATCACAATGCAGCCATCAGCAATAAAAAGCAGGTGGATCAGCATCAGCTAGGAACAAGTAAACAATGTCTAATTTCGGAAAAAAGTGAGAATAAAGATGAAACTTCAAGCGATGAAGAAGATACCGGAAGTCTTATCTCATCCGGGAGCTCCAACACATTAGATCTTATTGGACAGGAAGTTCCAGAAGATAATGATGCAGACTGCTTATTTTGTGGTGAGATAATCAAAACATCAAAATCTGGAAAACTTTGGGTGCAATGTATGTCTAAATATGTCTAAAATGGGCTCATATTTTCATCTGTGGTTTTTGTTTGTAGAAACTCATTGATAAGAACAATTTGTTATGTTTAAAAGTATAAAACTATAATTATATGTAAGAATAAAAGAGGTTGTTCTGAAAATAAAACATTTTTTGTTCATTTTTACATTTGTTTCATTTTACCACTTCAATTTCCAAAAACCATTTTTCGAGGTATGCTAACAAAAAAAATGTTTATCAAGGAGAAGTTTTATTCTTTACCAAAATTAGTTATAAAATATTATAAAATACATATTTGTTAGTTGTTTAGTAGACTAGGGTCAAATAACTATTGTCTAAATATTTTTTTTGGCCTAAGACAAAAAGTGGTCCATATTACCACCTTCTCCCCTATATATATATATATATATATATACAAATATATATACAGATATAATTATTTGTAAAGATCACTGCGTTTTCGGCATTATTCAACTTATAGTTGAGTTTCTCAATTTTTCTAGCGAGACTTTTATCTTCTTGATGAAGTTTATTAAGGTTAAATAAAAAATTTAATTTTTGACAAAACATTATTAATAACGTTATTACTACAGAAAAGCTCTTTTCGGCATCAACTGCCATCATCAGTGTAGTTATATAGTTATATATGTATTGTTCTGTCTTTGTGTCTTTGTTTTCACAGCGACTTTGATTGTAACTTAATTAGAATTAAAGTTAATCATGTGTTTCTTTGTCGGAAGAATATTGGTATTATTTAGTTGAATATTTATTGCTGGTTTACGTTTATCGATGAAATTTTTCAAACCAATCAAATTGCAGTGATCTTCATAAATATATATATATATATATATATATATATATATAAAATATAAACTAAATATATATACATATATATATATTTAGTTTATATATATATATATATATATATATATATAAACTAAAATTAAGTCCTTCAAATCACCTTTAGCAAAACTAACTACTACTAAAAACCCGGTTCAACTATTCACCACACGGCTCCGAAACCAAAAATTCTTAAAACCAAAAACCACAATTCTTGTTCGTCACATATATATATATATATATATATATATATTGTTGATAATAGACCATAATTTTTACAAACATTCGGTAGAATTTATAGAATATTGTAATAATATATATATATTATATATTCGTGAAAAACAATTTTTGAACCTCGGCTTAAATTGTCACCTCATAAAAAACAAACCACAAATAAATAAACATATTGAGATTGAGATGTTGATAAATGAAATTTGGAAACAAGAACAATTAGGAAATGTGAAAGTAAATCAACAATTAGCCAATGAATTATTAAGTGAATCTAACAAAAGACGAAATTCGTGTAATAGCAAATTGTTGACGAACGAATTGAAAATTGCTGCTAAAAATTTAAAAACTAATAAAAATATAAAAATACTGAAAGCCGATAAATCTAATTTATACGTAATATTAACTTATTTATCTAAATTAAATGACATATTGAAGGATGAAACTAAATTTAAACTGATAACTAAAAATCCAACACTATCGCTTAAAACGAAAACTAACCAAATTATTCGACAAATCAATGCTAACTCGACAGATCATAAAATACCGCTATTAACTGGAGACTACAGACCAGGTTATATGTATGGTACTGTCAAAATTCACAAAACTGGCGACCCACTTCGTCCAATAATTAGTCAAATACCAACAGTCATGTAGCAAAATGGCTCAACATCATCCTAACTCCATATATTCCAAATGAACATTGCATTTCTTCATCATCAGAATTTATTCACATCCTAAAAACTAGAACATCATCAGGCATCATATCATCAATAGATGTGGAATCTCTTTTCACTAACGTTCCTGTTGATGCCACAATAGATATTATTTTAAACTATGTATATAATAGTGCTATGAATCCACTAAAAATTAAACCTCATCGCTAAAACAGTACTC